TCTGTCAATAATGCTTTCCTAATTTCCCCAAAGTACCTATCAATGACCCAAACCAATTCCAGCCTTTGGCCGTGCTCTGTATTCCCAGTAACTACAGACACCTCCTTCAATCCCCTTCCAGACCACAGGTAAGTAATTAAGAGTTCAGTAGGACAGACTCTTCTCTTGGGGCCAAAAGTTTATACTCATTTAACCTTTAAGTCTTTTTTACCTGATATAATCATTAGGCAAAGAGAGTGGGGACCAAAAAGGTCATGTTTAGAAAATAAATTAAGCAGCCAGGATAACACACTTGCTACTTTTCCTCAAAGACTTACTGACCCTAATTATATAAATTTCTTATTCTTTTAAAGCCCATGACTCTTGGCTCATACTTCGCTCATGATATTTATCTTAATCTAGCCTGAATCAGAGTAGTTGGTTTACTTAACTTCCTACTAGATCTATAACTGCCCAGAAAGAGAGACTTGAGAAAAAGGCATCCAACTCATTTTTTTATCCCTTAAATTAAGCACCTACTACACTGCTCTACTATTCATACAAATATTGTAAAAAATATCTGGGTCCTCGTCAGCAACCGCTCTGTACATAACTAATCTCTGCAATTCTCACCCCTAAGTTTATTAAGAAAAAATGACTCACCCATGGTTATAATGCAATTAGTGACAAAGTTAATAAATACTACATGTCCTAACATTAACCTCTAATAATTATTTGGCTTAATTATGATTTTATTTTTGTAGAGATGGATGTTTTTTTCAAAGAAAAGAAAGGTACCAGTTAACATTCCTTATTTCCTCTTCCTTCAAGTTTCAGGGTTGACAAGCCGGCATATTAAGTCCAAGGAAAGATCCATGCCACATGCTAGGCACATAATCCCAAAGGCAAAGCAAGCCTCAGAGACTACCGCAAACTAGAGCTCCGAACTCACCTAAAAGGGGCAACCATTACTCAGCTCTGGCAATCTGCTCTCAAACAGGAACAGCAACTAAGGAGCCCCAAATCCTGTGATTTTGGAAGTGTGCTAGAAACTAAGACTTCTTTTTTTTTTTTTTTTTTTTTAATTTTTTTTCAACGTTTATTTATTTTTGGGACAGAGAGAGACACAGCATGAGCAGGGAGGGAGCAGAGGAACCTGAAGATCAGAAGCAAACATCCCCAGGCTCTGAGCCCATCAGCCCAGAAACTGTTGTCCTGAACTTTCAGAATCTCCTGGGACCATGAGATCATTGACCTAGCTGAAGAGTCAGTTGCCAGCAGGCCTCATACCTAGAAACTAAGACTTCTTAAATGTGACGTCTTCCTATTTTTTAAATGGTAGCAACTACTTACTAATGTTCCAACTACACCAAAAGCATGCAATACAGATCTGTGGACTGGATTCATTCCAAGGGCATCCTGCTACTGCAGGTGACAGTTTAAAATCTCTACATGTAGGGGGTGCTGGGTGGCCCAGTCAGTTAACCATTCAACTCCTGATTTTTCGGCTCAGGTCATGAGTCCTTAGATTGAGCCCAGCTTCAGGGCACGAGGCCTGCTTAAGATTCTCTCTCTCTGGGGTGCTTGGGTGGCTCAGCCAGTTGAGCATCTGACTTCAGCTCAGGTCATGATCTCACAGTTCATGAGTTTGAGCCCCAAGTCGGAGCTGACAGCTCAGGGCCTGGAGCCTGCTTCTGATTCTATGTCCCCATCACTCTCTGCCCCTCCCCCACTTGTGATCTGTCTGTCCCTCTCTCTCAAAAACAAATAAACATTAAAAAAAATTAAAAGAAAAAAAGATTCTCCCTCTCTTTTGTCCCTGCCCTGCTCACATGTGTGCATGCTCTTTCTCTGAAACATAAAATAAAAATTTAAGAAGTCTCTACATAAAATTGAAGGTGGACTAAGGGAACAATGCTCCTTTACTGTCACCCCTAACCTCTAGAGAAGAGGTAAAAAATAACCAAGGCCACTAAGAGCAGGTCATAAAATCATAAGGCCTACCAGTGACAAACTCCTTTAACTTTTCTCTCTCTTGAAAAGGAAATGTGTTAGTTTTAGATACAGCACCTTCTATAGCAAAAAATACACAGGGAGAATTTCATTGCTTTTTAATTTTTCCTCAAAACTTGTGAAAACAAAATATTCAAATAAATGTAATAGTTAAAATTATACAAACTTCTCCAGCCTTACCCCAACTTATGTAAATGCTCAGTAATACACATGAGACAATGATTCACCATGCACAGAAAAACAAGGTACAAAATATGAATGGCATTAATATATCTGTACTTGTCTATCTACATATTGTCATTTGACTCTCTTGCGACCAACAGCACCAAACTAGCTGGAAACACGGTTGAATACTGTGACCAGGGAATCCTACTCTAACAAACTACTATGGACTCAAACCTATGACCCGAACCTCCTTAATATCATGCTATCCAATAACTAAGGTGACCAGTCACTAGTAAACAAATATTAATTTAGTCCAAGAACATTTCTTCAATAGCTTTACAAAAGATTTGACATTATTTAACCAAATCATTAAAGTTTTTGTTTCAATTTAAAATAGAACTTTATAGAAAAGACCTGAACTTCATCTCCAAACCTACTTAATCTATTGGAAGCCTTAAGGAGTCATAATTTTTAGGGGTGCCTGGATAGTTCAGTTGATTAAGCATCCAACTTCAGCTCAGGTCATGATCTCACAGTTTGCTCTGCTCTCAGCACAGAGCCCACTTGGGATCCTCTGCCCCCCTCTCTGCCCCTCTCTCAAAAATAAACATTAAAAAAAAAGGTCATAATTTTTAAAATAATTAATCATGGTACATAGGCCTCTGGAGTTCAAACCATTCTCTAAAGTAACGATTAGTGAGGGAGTCCCTGTACCAACAGAATTAGTAGGCAATTTAATGACAATAAAAAAATATTACTGTTATTTAGGGATACTACTTATTGAACACTTACTATGCGCCAGGCACTATGCTGAAAACTTCTGGGTTCTCATTAAACCTTAAAGATGACCATATGATGGAGGTACCATTATTATCCCTATTTTACAGGTGGGGAAACTAACCTTTCCAAGATCACACAGCTATAAGTGGCAGAGTCAGGATTCCAACCCAAATCTTGTCTAACTTCAGAATTTGCACGCTTAACCACTACACTGTATTGCCTCCAGTGACTCTGGGCTGATATCTAAGATAAAGAAAAGAGGGAAATTTGTACTTCTCAGTGACAAATTTAAAAAACGTAGGAGAAATGGAGGATACTTTTTAGAACATGAACATTTCTCAATAGTCATACAAATATTTTTATTCCCAAATACATACTAATAATGATGGAAATCTCACACAATGGACTTCTCACAAACACAAATTTTCCTAAGTACTCATTCATGTTTATTGTTATCAATTTAATGGGAACACTATATTATTTTCTATGCAATTTTGCTGTGAAACTAAAACTGTTCTACAAAATTCTTTTTTAAAAAAATTTAGAATACACTGAATATGCCTAATGCAATTCCGTTATGAACACTAGCATAAGCCTATATTATTTCAGTATGCAAAGTTGCACTTTATTATAACTGCAGTGCTGAGCAATGTATGGGCACCTAAATATTTGATTCTTTCAAAAAGGCTTGGAGGTGTGTAAACAGTGCTGTAAAATTCAAATTTTTCACACTTCCAGAACACCTTCAGAAGTCTATAAAACAAAGACATAGTATGGCAAGTTGGAATAAAACCAGACAAAAAAATTAAATTCTCATTTAACAATATGAAAAATATACAATACTGCTATATCGTGGCTGACAAAAATAAGGCTAATTTATTATTTAATAAGGCTTAAGTATCAAAAGAAGTAGCCTGAAGTCAAAAATGGATTAGTATTACAGAATCTTTTTCTAATTCATTTTTTAAGTCCCTTCCAAATCCTCCAAAGCTTATCCAAAACAAACAAACCTTTCAATTGTCCATAGTGAATGTCAACATACGAACCAAATCTTTTTTTTCTGAAACACTAAGGGTGTCAAAATTCTAAAGGTCAATTAATACTTACTTGAGTGATCTATATAAAAAGTTTTGCTATCATTAACCACTTTTTATTTATTTACTACCATCAACATTTTCCTCCCATCAAGGTCCACCTTTATAAATACATACCTATGTTCACTGACGAAGGGAAATGTACTCACTATTTGAAAAAGCCATTTGCCCTATGTGTTCAGCAATATTCTGTCAAAACTAATTGTCAAATATAACACTGTACTGGTCACCAACAAAGTGTTGAAGAGAAGCACACTTTTAATTTTATTTTACTTCAAAACTGTACTTACAAAGTCTCAACTGTAAAAGATTACACTAATAATAAATGGGAATTCCTCAGCCTAAGTTACAGACGTTATTGGATAGGCCCTTAATCACACCTGTAATTCACAGAACCCTTTCCTTTCTCGCTGACCCACATCTTCATAAATGATGTGAAGACTGCTGCATCGCTATGCTTTCAATTGGCATAAATGGGGATTTGCAGTGCCACAGAAACAAAGCGTTCTGACCAATGGATGTTTCGAATGATTATCAGTACAAAACTCATTCAAATACTTGTATATTCAAAGCTTCTGACGAATAATCGGGCTTCACCCGATTACACAGGGAATACACACACAGGTTAATACAAACTCCGACTGCCTTGGCAGCTGCAAGCTCAGCTCAATCCCAGGACGCCACCTAAATTTGGAAGGGGCAGAACTATATCCGGTTCTCAATGGATACACATTTTCCCCATGCTTCTCATCTTAAAAACTTTACCTCTTCCCAGAGTAACAATAAATATACAAAGACGCCAGGGAGTATGCCCGCAGGGAAGATGAGTTATCAAATTAAATTCCTACGCGCGGAACCTGAAGCTTCAAAACTTTTCAAAACAAATCACAGCTGAAAGAACGAGGTAGGTTTTCCCACTTCTTTCCAGGAGCCAGCTTCCCCAGTCCCTGAACAGCTGTCCTGACTTACTGGTTAGTTGGAGGAGCAGTCAACGGGATGGCGACCTCTTCTTCCTCGTATTCTGGTCCATCCAGAGAGTCACCTTCGTCCACCGTTCCCAGGCCGGCGCCCAAAGGGGGCAGCTGAGGAGGAGGCGGCAGAGGAGGGAATCCGCCGCCTGCCCCGAAGGTCTCAGCAGGCAACGAAGTGGTCCCCTTGGCGAGACCCATCTCTCCTCCAAGTCCGGCAGCAGCGCCAGCCACGCCAGCGGCAGCACCTCCCCCTGACAGTCCGGCTCCCCCCATTGCCCCTGCCACAGACCCGGCTCCCAGGAACCCTGACCCCAAAGCGGCTCCGCCAGCCAGGTTCCCGGCTACTCCGGTCTCCGCCAGCCCAGGATAGGGTACGGCAGCCACAGGCAGGGCCGCGGGTATCTTCACCCTACATACTGCCGGATAGGCACTCGAGCTCGCGGCTGCGCCGCCTCCTGCTGCCCCGGCGGTCACCGGGCCGCCCTCCTCACTGCCGGCCTCGGCCGCCATCATGTTGAAGCCCGATCTACTCTGCCCTACCCAGCTCGCCCGGGAGCCCCGGGGGCCACCAGGCCCGGGCTCCGAGCCGCCCCACCCAGGCGCGTCCCCCCTTCAGCTCCCCAGGCGGAGGAAACAACAACAAAAGGAGAGAGCCCGCCGCCGCGCCCCCTCCTTGGGCCACAGCCCCGGCTCCGGAGCTGCCCGGGTTACGGGAAGCGAAGTGGGCAAAAAACTCAACGCCTGCACAAACGCCGCCCCAAGCCCTCACCTTACACACCCACACTCACGCACACACACACACACACACACACACATGCACAGAAGTGAAAAACTTCCTGGCTGCACTAAAGAGGAAGGGAAGCACAGAGGAAGCGGCTGGGGCGGCTGCCGCTCCTTCAGCCACCGCCGCCGCCACCGCCACCGCTTCTTCACCACCCTAGTTCCGGCCACCCCCACCGCAGCCACCGCCGGTGCCGCTGCTGGGGCTGGGGCCACTGCAGCCGCTTCATCCTCCACCGGGCTGGAGATGGGAGGGGTGGGGAGCCAAGAGGAAGGGGGGCGGGGTAGCGGGGAAATCGACTGAACTGCTCCCAACCTCGAGTGCTCAGTGAAACCGACTAGAGAGAAAGGAAGGCGGGGCACCAGTGGAGGAGCCGAGGGAAGGAAGGGCGGGGGAGGAGGGCGAGGGCAACTTCTGCGCAGGCGCGTTCCTGGCGCGGGGGTGAGGGCGCTGGGACTCGAGGGAGGAAAAGGAAGCGTCGGGAGGGAAGGAAGCGGCGGGGACGCGCGCTGCGCGGCCGTGCTCACTGTTTCGCTGTGGTACGAGCGTGTGGTGGTGTGGCCGTTTCTCCCGTGGGTGTCGCCGGCGGCAGGGCGCGCCTGCCTCTCTGGGTTTTGTTTGATGGGCGGAGGGGAGGAGTGGGTACCCGAGCACGCGGCCGTGCTGCACTGTGAAAGCAGGAGAGAAAGGAGGGACCAGGAGGGGTGGAGAGGAAGGAACCGAGGAAAAGGGAAAGGAAGATGCCGCGAAGCCAGTTCTCTGCTTCCTGACTGCTAGAAAAAAACACCTTTACCCAGCGGTGCAGAAACCGGACGCGAAGCCCGGGGATGAGGGATTGCCTCGAATTTCGAGGCAGTGCTATTAATTGTTTTTTTGTTTTCGTTGCATTCCATATTAAAAAATAAAATGAAATTTTAAACTACGTTCTGAAACTCAAACGAAATAGGGAAGTAATATGGGGTGACCTAAAAATTTTGGTGGAAATAATAGTTGTAAAGTGCGATTTCTGAGACTACACATTTTGTTTTCTTTCCCACAATCGCCATCTCTCCTGTCATACCTCTCTGTCTCTATTCCCGCCGAACACACACACCAGTGCCATCGCAGGTATGTTGGGTACTAATGTGGCGTGGAGAGGAGGGAAGACGTTCATTTGCGTGCAGAACACAGCGGGGCACGCTCCACAATGCACATGTGAAGCATAGAGAACCTTGAACCAGGCAAATACCAAGGTTCCAAAGTGCCATATACAATTATGCATAGCTTCAAAAATTATCAATAAACTGTTTTCTCACCCTAAATATAGCCAGAAAGATGGGGTTTGTTTTGTCTTTCATGCTGGACTATATATAAACTATCTCATGCATGCAAAAAATGGAGGAATCATTACCATTGTTTGAAATTACAGTATATGCAATTTGCCCTTTGGCAAATGATACTGTTTTGTTTTTTAATTCTCTCAGAAGGAATCCCACATTAAATACCTTTAAATATTGGTCTTTGAGATGGATGTTTTCTCTGCCAACGATGATCAAACCAAGAGAGGAGCACATAAGGAAGGGGATGGGTAGGGGCTATAACAGAGGCCCAGGAAAAAAGGAAAAGACCACTAAAAGAGGTGGCAAGGTATGCACAAGATATTTTCCTTTACTATATAAGTTTGCATAAGCACTGTTTGCCAAATTAGTGGCTAAGTTGATTAGAAAGTAATCCTGAGGACTTCTTCATTGTGCTTACTCTTATACAGCATACCACTTGTGAGAGCAAAGATGGATTAGTCACAAAAGTGGTCTTAGACCAGCATTATCCCAGGAACTTGTTAGAAACACAAATTCTTGGCTCCATCCCAGACCCTCTGAATCAGAAATCACAGGAATCTTTTACTAGGCTCTCCAAGTTTACACATTTAAGAACCACTATACTATAGTATGCTAATCAAGAAGGAGGTATGCAATACCTAAAAAATGGTTCTGAAACAAAGAAGAATAGATGAGAAAGCCAACTCAATGCCATTCATTAGGTAGGTGGATAACAGAAATAGGTATTGTGTTGCTAAGCCCTGGACTATTCTAGAAAGGAGGTTGGGAAATGAGAAAATGCAAAATGAAGTAATTCCATAATACTTAATAATTTTGGTCCTACTTCTTACAGTGGCCTCCGTGAGAACAGTTTTTCTTTTTCTTTTAAACTTAGACCCTCAAAGTAAGAAGAGAACTTCAAAGTGCATATTCCACCAACTGCCAACAAATTTTCATGTAGCCTGTGCTTGAAAGCCACAGTGAATTACCACTTCAGTCCTCCAACACTCCCACCCCAATTACCCACAACAGCCTTTGAATGTAGGGCACTGGACTGGCAAGTTATGACCAGCTCTTGTTATCACAGATCTCTGAGTGCTCATACTTCTTCTGTATGCGCCTAAGATTCCAAGTCAAGCTCACTATTCTAATTTGCAGAATTGTCTTCTTCCCCCTTTTGAAACTCTTCAGCAATTAAAAGCCAATATTTAATCAGCCAACACCAATTACACACTGAGTCACATCGTTTTCTAGTTACTTTTAGATTTATGTATCTACAAAGCTAGACTGCAAATACAATATGTGTTCTACTGCCTAGCCCAGTGCTAGACATCCATGTCAACAGCTTTGAACAGGTCTCCATCCTTTTAACAAATACTGGATTAGATCAGCTCACATCTTCGGATACCAATTACTCAATTAGTACGAAACACCTACTATATCTGTGTATCAACCTAATACCAATATCTTACCATATATTCAATCTTAGAGTTGTGCTGTCCTTTTTATCCAGAGACTACCACTTACCATTCATGAGTTATTTTCATATATCTTATATACTCCTTTTATTGGACAGATCTAGGCTTTGATCTTTACTATTACTTGTGTGCTTCCTGAATCTCAAGTCAGTCTTCCATCTTCAGTGACATTTTATTTTTATAGAAGGGTTAAATGTTTATACCTTATTTTTGTCTATTGCCTTTTTTTTCTTTTTCTATTCACCTTGACCTTCTGCCCTTCTCTCATTTGTGGTCTCATGTTCTCTTTGCTCCTATGTATTTCTCCCTCAGTTTCTGTTTCTGGGTTTCCTTTTCTTTTCTTCCAGGCCCCTGTATTTCTTGACTCCTTGAGCTTTCATGAGTCAAAGTCCTTAAAGTTTCGTGAGTCAAAAACTGAAGAACAACTTTAAAAAAAATATATGAAATATCTATGTGGAGAGAGGCATTACAGGGATTCTGCAGCAATTGGTGTCAGATGTGGTGTTATGTAACATCAGTTAACAAAGGGAAGTAAACAGTCTGTTAATTAAATTTACAGATAATATTAAACAAGGAGGTACTGAAAAAAAGAACAAATTACAAAAGAGGAAAATTCAAAATAACATTTAGCTTTAGTAAAACAATCTTTGATATCTGTGATTTTAGAAAAGTTATCCAGATATTGAATTAAATATAGTATTTAGTGAAAAATAAATAATCAAAAATGCTGGGCAAAGACTTGTGGGTGAAAAGAATCTGAACATTTAATTTTTAGAAAATGAATTTGTCTCATTCTGATTTTATTGGCAACTTAAATATGAATGTAATACATTCCAACATATTTTTCAGTTTTGATACCTGTAAAAAGGTCATTCTAGGCAGTTATATAATTATAGAGAACCTCAAGGGGTTTAGTACAAATATATGAGTTGTTTCTGAGGGGAAAACTGATCAAGAAGTAAGAAAGAGCTTACAGCTGTGTTTGAACAATCCCAAATTGTGTTTCATGCCCTAGCACATCCTCAGCTATACAAATAGGCTTCCAAGTTTATCTAAATAATACCAAAAGGTTCCATTGACCCAAAAAATTTTGGAAAGAAGCTTTTACTCCTAACCCCTAATATTCCTACTGCATTTGCTGACCTCATCTTAGAATCTTCAAGAGCACATTTTTCCTTATTAGGGAGATGTTGTGAGAAAATAACATTGAGGAGACAGAGGTTAAAGGAAATTATTTTGACTAAAAAGTAAATAGTTCTGCAGAGATTACAGTATGTGGCATATTAACTAAATAAGATTTATGAAAATTATAAACACTGTGAAGAATTTAGAGCATAGTAAGATCTCTGAGGCTATAAAATACACTTCAAAGAAAATTATCAGAAGCCTTCTTCTGATGACTAAAGGAACTTAGAGCAGTTGGATCTAAATGTTCCTTCTCTTGCAAGAAGAATAAATGTCTTTAATTTTTATTAGTTTATTCTTATTCTACTGTCTTTATTTGGCTGATTTTTATTTATTCTTTATTAGCAATACTCCTCTTTTATTATTTCCAGTCTATTTTTCTTTGGCTACTATTTTCCTCTAACCAGAAATATTTCTGTATCACCTGACTGCACTTTGGTTCCTTTACATGATAGTTCCCTATGGGAGAAGTAAAAGAAAAAAGGAAGTATAATGGTTTTGAGGAAAGGGAAATGGGAGAGTCAGGATGAGTAAGACTCTGGTCCATATTTTCCTCCTATTTACACTCCCATTCTTTTCCCGTGTCAGCCACAATTTAAATACCACCTTAAGCACCATCGTGAAATCCAACTAATCTTTGGCCTCTTCGCTTTAGGAGTTCTACAAAATCTCTCACTCACTGCATTCTTAAGTCTACCTAAAAATCTCCTGGTAACCCCTCCATCTCTAAATTCAGTTAGCACATTGAATATACAAACTTCTTTAATAGTT